GCGTGCCCAAGGCGTCGGCAGGGGCGGGCGCTGCCCGCTGTCTGGGAAGAGCGATTCCAGCCGCAGGCGGGGCCGGAGGGGAGTGTGGACTTGGCGGCGGGTGGGGCTAAGATCGCCAACAGAGATTTTCCTCAACCCGGCCTGTTGGCCTTGGATGAGGGGCGTTGTAGTTTTATCTCCACCTCCAAACACTCGCTTCTGGGTGCCCCCACCCCCCGATCCTGTCGACACTCCCGGCTGGTTCTCGGATGAGGCGCTCAACAGGGCCCCGTTTACTGTGTCTGTTCAGCAAATATTTATTCGATGCCTCCTTGAAATAGGAGATTGTCAGGGCTGGCAGGAGCCTCAGACCATCTGTGACCCGTTTCTTCCTCTGAAAATGAGAAAACAGAATCCCAAATGGTTAAGAGAGGTCTAAGGTCAAAATAATAACCATAAATTGTTGAGTGCTTACTACGGACCAGACACTGTGCTAAGCACTTTAAAGGCGTCATCTCGTTTATTAGAAAAACTTTCCCGACTTAAAGTTTACTGCACAATGGCATGGAAGCGGGAGATAGAAACCCATGCCTCTCTCATCTTTGTTAATGCATAATCTGCTCTTTGGCTCGTTTTTCTTCTGAAAAACTTTTCATAGTGTGTTGAATTTTTAAAAAGTTGTATACTGAAAGTACTTTAATAAACTTTGACAAATACTGATGAATGCTGGGAGATGTATGAATGTAAAAAAAACCTGCCTTCGGTGGCACCTGTTTATAATTCGTACTATTGACAGCAAAACAAAACAAAACAAAAACACCTAAATTCTTTGTTGTGATCACATTTATTGCTCTTCAGATGTCAATTGTGAACTATTTGGCTTGTATCTGCAGTTTTCCTCTAATTGCCTCCTCCACCCTTAGCTAATAATGATCCAGTCCTATTACACCTGGGTGTGCACTCATATAATGTGGTTTGTTTCTACCCTTGAGCCTTTCTGCGCTGTATTTTCCCTGCCTAGATGTTCTACCTGCCAAATTCGACTCCTTTTCTTAAAACCCATGCTCACCCATCCAGGAAACCTTTTTCCACAATTCCACAAAGATCTAATTGTTTCTGTTTAGCATCACCTGATCCATCATTTTCAACAGGTGTTTGCACTTCTAAAAAATCTGCTTCTTTTTCTAAGTCTTTTTCGTTTGTTCTTGTCTGTATGCTTGATGAAAAGAGACCATTCATTTTTGTTTTGCATGTCTAGTATAGTATCTGACACAGTGGACATTCAATATCTGGTTTGTTGAAAGTTATGAAGAATGTAAATTCTTATTAGTCAAGGACCAGATGTTTGTTCATGGCTAAAAAAAAAGCATTGAGTATTTCCAAAGTTTGCTGACTAACTATAAAGTATTTTCCCTTTCCTAGTCAAAAGATGTCTGTTAACAGACAATAATTGTGAAGTAATAAGTATTATCTATATAATTTACATCTAAATATCATTGCTGTCTCTGACACATCTGAACTAGTCGCCAGAGGGTTAAACATCATGACTGCTTCACATATAGCACTTTTCATTTGCATTTAATGTTTTGTGAAATAGATTCCAACGAGCCAGGTTCTGTAACAAGAACATTTACTTTAAATATATTCCTTGAAAAAGTAGTTCATATGACATTATGAAGTTAAATGCTAATATTTCATGGGGCAAGGAGAGGCTGATATAATGTGGAGAAATGAATGGGGAATTAGAAGGCAGGATGGCAGATTCCAGCTATACCACAAATGCGGTGCTGGACCTTAATCTCTGAACCTTACACAGATATGCTGGCTCTGTTCAAAATATATCTGAATGGTTCTAGCACCTCCATTGGTACAACTCTAGTTCAAGTTGCCATCTTTCCTTATCTAGCTTACCATGGTAATCTCTTAATGAGCTGTTCCAACTTGCTGTTTACAATCTGCGATGTGCACAGCAACTAGATGATCTTTGTATAACTCAGATCAGGTCGCTCCTTTGCTAGGAATCCTCCACTTGTTTCCCAACATACTTGAAATCCCAAGTCCTTTCCTTGGCCTGTAAGACTGGATACTGAGAAACTTCTGCAGGTATCCCATTAAATACCATGATTCCCCTCCATCACTCTGCTCCAGCCACACTGGCCTTTCGGATGTTCTTCAAACATGCCATGCATGTTTCTCCTTTAGGAACTTCACACTTGCTGTTCCCTCTGGGATCTATTCTTCCTCCACATTGTCTCATGACTAGCCCTCTCCCTTCATTCAGGTCTCAGCTCAAATATCACCACCTAAGTTCACTAATCTCATTATGATGACCTCATAAAAGAGCATCCCTGTCATCCCCCATCCTCTTAACCTGTTTCATTTTTCCTCAGACACATCATCTATTTCTTCCTTTGCTTACTGCCTGTCTCTCCCCTGTAGAATGTGAACTGTGTGTAAACAGGATTCACTGTTGTATCTCCAATGCCAGGAACAGTGCCTACTAGATGATAGGTGTTCAATAAATATTGAATGAATGGATGGATTTAGGTCAAGTGAAGTCTCCTAACAGAAAATTTCAGATAAACGTGTTTGTTAAGTCTCAAATCATTAAAGTGGAAATTCCTAATACTGTTGATTGGTTGATTTTTCTTATTTATATTTTCCTCTTTCAAAAGAGCAACATGTCACACTACATATGTCCTCCTCAAAATGAGATCATTCTCCACGTCCTGAGTGCCTAACAATTACTGAGGAGAGAAAGTCTTAGGTTCTTACTGAGAACTATGATGATAAAAATATTTCCATTCTATCCTAAACCTATCCTTGTCTTTCTGGTTAACTACGATACAGTTTCCTCTGGTGACTCAGAAGTATTAGAGCATGTTTTTTAAAAGTCACTATAAAAGTGACTCTTATGTAAATACAAAGACTAAAGCTGGGAGGTGTCTGTAGTAGGCATCACAGTTAGCCCAACTAGCTTTTCAGGTGTTGTCCTGTATAATAAGTACGCTTTGTTCCCAGCTGAAGGAGTTCTAAGCAGGTGTGGCCCTTTCCATAACTTGCTCCTACTTGCATGTTAGCTCTTGGCGATATTCCTGACAAAGTGGAAAATATTACAAACCACTAAAAGTATTTAAGTGAAAAACAATTACTCAATGGCTTAAAGGTATTTAGCAGTCCTAAAATCCTAAACCAAGATGTACGTGTGTGTGTGTGAGCACGTGCCCAAGTGGGGTTTAGAAATTGCAAGACACTTACAGCAATATTTGCATTTGTTAAAAACCAACCAAACAAACAAAAAAACCTTCAAATTCTTTGAAGAAACCTTTACTATCCAGTAAAACCAATTTATCTTCAGAGGCACATGCTGGGCTAGTCATTTCCTGCTTGTTTTCTCTCATCTATTCCTCACCAGCGTTCTCCACCGAGATCTACCCACCTCTGGTCTTGATATCAAGGGGCCTCTTCTCCACTATCTTGGCACTTGCAGCTTTAAGAAGGAAACCCAGGAACTTTCAAGGCTATGTGTATAAGAGATTCAGAATTAGAATCTTGGAGGCAAAAAGAAGAGGGGCCAGGGTTTGGATCTAGAATTTCTCCAGTCAGCATTGATCAGATCTTACCATTATGGGTTGCTTCAAAAGCTGTCATAATGGCAGGCATCACTTCCTTAAGGTCCTCTGGCCAGAGGGCGGCCCCCATCACACTGTTGGGGACATGTATCATATTGATGTGAAGATGGGAAGGTCCATGACCCTTTCAGGGCAAAGGTGAACAGGTTCTTAAACTTTTAGCAGGCTGCTGTCTTAGCCCCAGATGAAACAAGGCCTTATCTACCACCCTTTTTGTGGTAGCAAAGGGGATGATATGATTGTTATATAACATTTATTATTTCCTCCTTTCTTTAAGTAGTATATCAGCAGGACAGTGAAGTTGGAAATGTAGAGTATGAACCACTTCTGAATATCTATGATGTTCAAGAGAACCTATCATTCAAGAATAGAAGAAAACTTACTAAGAATTATCCAAATCTCCAAGTTGATATGACAAGTCCCACTAACCTGATCTAGGATTTAAAATTTATTATTCTGAGTATTGATCTAGAGATGCCAGAGAGATAATAGACTACGAATAGATGGTTGTATTAGGCTAAAATAAATTAACCTGTCCTTGAGATATTTATATAGTTACTCTTCTATCTAAGAAGTTGTAGAGAATTCCATTCCTGAGTCTTTGGGGTATGTCTGGAATATTACACGGACTGAAAGACGTCATAAACTATTCAAACTGCCCGAGCACATCTAGAAAGTGACTTCATCTTTGTGGAAGTGTAATTCTGTAAATATCTAGGTCTTTCTGAATTGGCCCAATAATAAGAGTAGCTAACAATTATTGACTATTTTTATGATATGTAATAATTCATTTGAAACTCACAATTGTCCTTTGAGGTAACAGCTATTAGTATCACCATCTTCATTTTACAAATGAGGATACTGAGACAGGAATGTTAAAGAATTAACCAGAAAGTAATAAAGTTCATTTTGAACCCAGGTGGTCTGACTTCAGAATCTGCACTCATAATCTCCAATAGTTCATGACCAAGACGAGTTGTCCATTGTTTTCCTTACAAGAATATTGACACCTCAGTCAGCTGCCATCTGGGGTGGGGTTGGAAGGGAGGGTTACTTTTTCTGACACCCAAATACTCAATCCTCTTGTTTAAAGAGCAAGTTTGCCAGTTTTGAAGTTTCAGCATCTCTGGGACTTGATACATTGAAACAATCTATTCCTTAAGGAGAGAGAAAATTCCTCTCTCTCTTGCTCAGAAGGCTTCCTGGTAGACCATTTATTTACTCAGACAGTATTCCAGACACTTGAGAGGTGGGTGGAGGAGTCCTGAAACACACCCCGCCTCCCGCCCTCAGTCAGCAGTTTGCTAAGATGAAGCTTCATCATCTGAGCTTCTTATCAGAAAGCCTGGTAGACTAGTCCAGCCTGTAGTTTGATGGAGAAGAAGTCAGCAGAGGGAGTCTCTACGGCAGTAGCACTACCACCAAAATCAACAAAGCTTGAAGATGTAAGAGCCAGAATTTAATAGTAAGAGACCTAGGCTCATACATGAGAGAAAGAAAATTTGAATGGGTCTTGAAATAAGAGAGACAAAAGCAGATATCAAAAGACAAAGCATAGAGCCAGGGAAACAGACAAGAACAAGGAGCAGTGGTCTCAACAGTAGATGAGAGAGTAATTCTTGGCAAATGTTAAAAGTTAAGTGGTTGCAGCCTTTGTAGCAGGTTGTGTGGAAGGAACAGTTGCATTCAAACAGCCAGTAATGCTGCTGCCTGGCTGGGTTGTGAGTTTCTAGCCTTGGGACACATCAGTAACCAGATACGCTGGACTAAAGCCCACTGTGCAGAGCTCCCTGATGCACAGGAGTCCACCGTTGTGTTGATGTGTAAACAGATTCCATCTCCCCAAAGATCCCGGAAACCAGATAGCCCTCATCTCACATCTGCACTCTGGTCTAGAGAAATGAGGGTAGAGTGTTGGGCAGGGAAGAGATGAACAGTAGGGCACGACACAGGTGATTCCTGTTGTCACTGGGCATGATTTACATCAGAAAGTGCACCTGCACTTGAAGAGGTGGCTCTCAGTTCAAACCGAGCTGCTCTGCTGTCTACTCTAGCATTATTGGAAGACTCGCTTTCTCTTTTCTATCATCACCATTCTCCCATATTATTTGAGCTTTTGCTATTGCCTGGCTTTGCAGCCCCCATCAGTTGATCAGAAGGTGTGGCTAGGTATTTAGGCAACCTTCAGTCATGCACAGCTGTCAGTTAGCAGTTATGTTTAAGCAACCTCTGGGTCCTTGAACATTGGATCCAAATTATGATGTGGTATCTTTGTAAACAGCTTATGAGAAAATCACCAAAATTCTGTTGTACACTGGCAGCTAGACAGATCATGGTGTTGACCGTGATGATCCTGGCAGGTAAAAGATATGTATTCAGTGGGATAGCAAGGGAGTGTGTACTGCTTTCAAAGATGAGATTGCAGGCTGCGTAGAAGGTAATGAATTTATCCAACCTCTCGAACAGACAGGTTAAAGGAGATGTTTTTCTACTCCCTGCCTCAGACGCATTGAGAGCTACATCATAATGTTGCACAAGTTCCCCTCCAAGAGCAGGTGTAGCCTGTTAGAGTCCAAGCAGAAAAAAACAACTCCTCCTACAGTTAGTCGAAAGGCTAATAAAGGCCACCACCTCCCACAGAAGCTGATGTGCTCCCTGACTGCAATAATTCAGTTGCCAGATCTTGCACATGACTGTAGCAATGGGCTTGGCACTGGAGCCTTAGATTTGGCCAGAACATTCAGTCGTCCTTTGAAGGGTCAGCCCAGCAGTGAACCAGCCAGGATTGGGACCATGAGCAGAGAAAATGGGCAGAAGCTATTGGAAGATCCAAATGATGTGCTTAAAGGACTCCAGATTCATTTGTCTTGGGTGAGCCTAGCTTGAAGCCACGAAGTTCAGATAGTCCTTTTCTGACCTCCAAACAAATGATAACTATCATTTCTTGTTTTCTTATAGTTTCTTAGAATTTTTACATTCAGCTCTTCAGTTCAGATGGGATTTATTCTGGTGGCATAACTCTAAATGGAGTTTTATATGGGGCACTGTTGTATGCTGGATTATATACTCTCTCTATATATGCATTCGATCACTGTTAACTAATTCAAGGTACACTGTTAAGGGCCAGAGACCATAAAGGTCATAAGGACTGTGGTCCTCGCTCTGCAGATGCTTAGTGTCCAATTAAGGAGATGAAATGAACGAGGATAACTATACAAAGAACCTCGTGAAAAGTGCCATGTGAGCTATATGGACAAGAGAGAACAGAAGGACTTTTTCATGCTTGTTTTCTGATTTTTTTCTTTTTCTTTTTCTTTTTTTGAGAGAGTATTAGAGGAATAGAAGTAGATTTCCTTCTGCCTGAGATAATAAGAGTTTTCTCAGAAGAAGTGTGATTTCACATGGGCCTTCAGGGATAGGTAGCTGTCTTAATCTTGACTTGTTGATTGTAATGAACAGAAAACCACTTGAATTATCTCAATTTAAAAAGGAGGTTATCTACTCATCTCATTTCTGAGAATCTATACCAAAAGTAAGCTGGAAAAAAATATGAACAGAAATATGCACAAGGCAATTTACTATTTATTATGCCATGATTTGTAACAGCAAAAGACTGAGAGCAACCCAAATGTTATCAACATGGGACTAGTTGAGAAAACCATGAAGCAGTCACATATTGGAGGACGATGCCTCAGTAAAAAAGAAAAGGATCTCCGTATGTCTCCATGATAACTGTTTCAGAATGGAGCTCAGTGTTAACAGTGGGGAGGGATGTAAAATATATACATACATGCTTATGTTTGCAAGAAGAAACAATGGAAGAATCAATAAAAGTCAAACCAAAAATCAATTAGAAAATGGTTACCTAATGGGGAGCAGAAACAGAGTGAAGGGCATTGCAATTGTGAAATAAAATTCATATTTTATGGTAAGACAAGAAAAATTTAAACATGAAAGAATTGTCTCTGTCCTTTGGCCTCCTCTCCCCTCTACCGTGCATTGTATATCTGCATTATGCATCCACCAAACCTTCCTAGAAGCAGAAATACCTGCTCAACCATAAAGAATAACATTCTCCTAGCACCAACAAGACAACTCCTTTAGGATAACATTCCTTTTTGACCTTGTAAAGGGGTCACAGTGACCCACCACTTTGTACTTGCAGATCTGAACTGTGTAAACTGTCAATAATATGTCATCTAACGTACAGCCCTCTGTCTCAAAAAATTTATGTAACTGTGCTTTGGTCTCAAAAAATTTATGTAACTGTGCTTTGACTCCTAATGGGTAGAAAAGTTCTCAGAGCTTTCTAAGGGGCTATTCCCCAGGTTCTAATCCTCAATTTGGCTTGAATAAAAATTTTCATTTCTTTCTTAGGTTGACTGATGAATTTTTCATTGATGAAACAGAATTTATCTTGAGTTTCTCTTGTAACATGGTTTTTGACTTTGGAACCATGTAAATATTGACATGCTTAAAAAAACCAAAAATCAAAAAGTGAAAAAGGGGAGCTATTAAAAAGTCATATTATAAAACCTGATGATAGCTAATACAGTGTGGCCAGGCCACTTGAGGAATAGAACTATAAAGTAAGAAACCAAAGCAATGTCCTCCATTTCCTTAAATGATTCATTCATTTATTTATCTAACATATTTATTGAGCATGTATTATGCACCAGGAATTGTTCTAGGCATTGGGCACATAGCAAAGAATCAAGTGGAGGAAAAAGACCTGACTTCATGGAGCTTACGTTTTAGTGATTGGTGACGGACAATAATCATATAAGTAAAGGAAGAGGATCAGAGAAGAGGATAAGGAGTGTGAGTAGGGGTGGGATTGCAATTTTAAATACAGTGCTTAAGGAAAGCATTACAGAGAAGATGACATT